GAATTAGCATATTGTCCCAATTTAAGAAAAATATGTTGTTTGATGTTGATATGTTATTAATGTTTATAATGTTGCATAAATATTTTGTGTTAATATGTATAGTTTCATGAGGACATTGAAACTTAAAAAGGGGAGTAAAATGTGGAGCCATGTGTCTCTGATAGGCATACATTATGTTATGGCATTGTCATGTTGATATAAATAATAATACTTGTAGTGATCATTTATGCAAACGGTTGATCGTTTTCTGTGATCAGCTGATTTAGTAATATTTTGTGTTGTTATACGACCCCTAAATTAACATGTGCTCGATGTTTGTAAATAACGTGGTATATATGAATGTTCATGACTTGATGCATTGTTGTTTATAACATATTTACATTGCATAAACTTCTTTTATCACAGTGTTACAGGGATATTGTTAAACGCTACTGATATGTCATGTAAATAACAGAGTTTTCATGTTCTATTTACCTTCGTCACATGTGAACTGCCATTTTACCGGAACTGATTGAGTTGTAATTTATGCATTTGACCTTAGGTCACTGTCTATTTTCGTCTGGCGGTCTTTTTGAATGTATATTGCCATTTCTTCCGGGTTGTGACATTTATTTGAGTGACGAAGATTCTTTGTAGTAAAATGTTTACAGTTATGTTACTTTATGTATAATTAAAGTTGTATTAATTATTTTATATGGAAGCACCGATAGTGTCTCCGGTGGTTTCCAACCTTGCGCGTGTGTTACCCCGGTGGATTGAGAAGTCTATATAAACAGCCGGTAGACTTTCTCCGGCACTTTTTCCAGCTTTACTTTTGGCATATACACGTTACCAAAATCACGGAAGTAAGTGTAAGGAAATAGAAGGTTATTCCTTCTGCCTTTGGATAAACGGTAATCTAATTAACGGGTTAATCCCTTAATTAATCACCTAATTAGTGCAAATTAACGAATTTCGCAGTTTTTATAGAAAAAGGACTAGGAATTAGCGTATTTAATTAATGGGTTAATCCCTTAATTAATTACCATCTGAATTTTAATAGGAATAGAACTAGGAACAACTTTATTTTCATAAAAGTCAACTAATATTATTATCTAAGATTATTTAGAGATTATTTCTCTGAATTCTGGACTTCGTTGATCATTATTGAGATCTCTTGATTATTTTAAGAGACTTAATATAATTCTTCAGGCATAAGAGTTTAATTTCACATAAATATATATATATATATCAAGGGTTATTCCCAGGATATATACTTCGGATAAAGTGATCCCCCCATTTCTATAATTTGGAATTATAAAATAGAGCCAAGGTTGTATTGATGTTGTAGTGTACGTATAACAAAGTGAATCTTTGTGTGTTGTATTGACATATGGTGTGTATTTATGTCATTGAGATGGTTGTATATGAACAATAAACCTGTAAACTGAAAAGTCTGTTTATTTAAGCTGGAAAGTCAGTCTGGTTATTCTGGACTTAAAACAAATCCTGACAAGAGTAAATAAAGAAAACATCCTGACATCCTATTTTTAGTAAATTATCGTAATAAGCTCTACCTCTGGAGAGCGTCACAATACTTTGAATATTATCAGGAAAGTCTTTATTTTCAACATGAAGCATTATTTTTTATTTTACAGATCTCCAAAAAATATTGAAATTTCAAAATGTCACAAAAAGGTGTTGCACTCCTGACAATTTTAGCATCATTTTTGGGCATAACTTTTTTGTTAATTGAGATATCAACAAGATATTTGGCAGGTATTTAGACACTATCTAAAGACAAATGCTGAGACATAGAAATCTATTTTCATTGCATGTATTTTTAGTGTGGGTTGATAAATATGCGTTTGGTCATTTTTTTTGAATTCACCCAAATGTGAGTGTTTTTGACTCAAGAATTGTCAGATTTAGTAGAAATCTTAAAATATATACAGTAGTTCAAATTCATTTGTGGTAAATTTTAAAATTAGTCACTCAAAGAATCTTAAGACTCGATGTCTCAACACCCTCTAGGCATAGCGGTATGTGTTTGCTCACAAGCTTAAAATTATATCAGGGCACTTTTTAATTAGTGATTTGATAATATTTTTTTTGCATTTCAAAAGCCCAGTATTTCAGCATAAGTATGTCCCTTTGACCATAGCAATGTATTAATATTGGATTTGAGAACAGAGGGCAAATACTCTCTTAAAGTTTTGCAAAATTATTAGAAAATTTTAGTTCTGAATCCGTGGAAATATTTAAATACCAGAATTTTGAAGAGACACGCATCAATATCATGAACATGTAGTCTGAAACATGACTGGAGAAAAAAATCCATTTAAAATAAAATTTCTGTTTGCTTCTATGTATACAGTTAAATGTCAAACCGATTACATTGTACTAATTTTTTTTTTCGGAAACCAGGTTGACCAGATGAAAAGAATAAGATTTTAATGCTTGAAAAAAAGTTGGCCGGTTACTGAGAAAAATGAGATTTAAAATTTTCATTTTTCCAACTTCATATTTTTCTATAGAGCTGGTTGCCATTTTGAAGAAGGGACACTTATAACAATATGTTGCGTCTTACCCCCTCATAAATAAGGACAGCCATGATATTTTATTGGGGGGGGGGGAATTGCACTCTATAACTATTTCACAGAGTAGGATTTTCCCCCCGGAAAATTTTATCTTGTGTGGGATTTCCGTAGGGAAAATCCTATTCTAGAGTCATTTTTCTGTCGGGGAAATCCTAGTCTAGAGCTTATTTCCAGGGGGAAATCCTACTCTAGAGCCAGTTTTCGGGGGGGGGGGGGGGGGGGAATTTTACAGGGGAAAGCCTACTCTAAAAGACCTGTAGTCATATTAACATGGAACTTTCTCAGATAGTGTAAATACAAGTTTGTTCAAATCATGACCCCCACCAAATAGGGTGGGGCCGTGGTGGGTGATCAGAGTTTTACATCGGAAGATATCTTTAAAAATCTTCATCTAAAAAACATCAAAACCATGATTAGTCATAATTATATTGAATCATCCTCATTTAATGTAGATTCAGTTTTGTTCAAATCAAGGCCTCTTGGGGTAGAGAGGGCAATGATATGGAATTAAATTTTTACATTGGAATATAAAGGGGGAAAAAATCTGCAGATGAAGAATAGGAGGACCAGTGGCTCAGGTGAGAGTTGTGGCCCATGGTCTCTTGTATAAAAAGTTCAAAATCTTGTCAGTTGTGTTATAAGATTTTTCTTTGAAATCCTCTAACAAATAAAAGTTCAGTGAGTTTTAATAAGGGTATCAGAGAGGATAAAACTGTTCTTTGTTTTTAGCTTATTCATCATTCAAAAGTCAGTTGCTTTTCACATTAAAGTGCTTCTGAATCATCATAAAGATGTGATATGGATTGAATGAAAATCAAATTACAAATTTTAAATCTTTTATTAATTTTTCATAAGGTCTCATATTTCTTAGTTTCATTGTGTCTTGTACAAAGTGCAGAAGCACTAAGGGATTACTCTACCCTGTGTTAGTCCCTCTGTGTAGCAATTTTTATACATGTACTTAAACAAGCATTCTGAGAGTATTGCATTAGCAATACTAGTCCCCTACCGGCAAGTGTAATCTGGTTCCGTTCCCGTTAAGAATTGAAAATGCCATAATTCCGTCAAAAATTAATGAAGCGGGACGAAATGCAAACTTGATCTATAACTAATCAAGGTAAAGTCACATACCAAAAATCAGCTCAATATCTACAAGCGTTGAGAAGAAAATTGTGGAAAACCCGTAAAAATTGAAAAGGTCGTAATTCCGTCAAAAATCAATGAAGCGGAACGAAATGCAAACTTGATCTGTAACTCATCAAGATACACTCACATACCAAAAATCAGCTCAATATCTGCAAGCGTTTAGGAAAAAAGTGCGGAAAACCAAGTGGGACAGACTGACAGACAGACAGAGGGACAGACAGACAGACAGACAGACAGACAGACGGACGGACAGACTCAGAGGAAACCTATAGTCCCCTCTGGTTTCACCGGTAGGGGACTAATAATTAATAATTTAAACTCGTACACTGATATTGTGCAGTGTTTTCCCTAAGAACCAGCTACCTGCCAAATAGACCACTTCAACTGATATAGATGCCACTTAGAAATCAAAATTTACAACATAACTGCTCTCAGGTCCACAGAGATTTTATTAGTCCCCTACCGGTGAAACCGGAGGGGACTACAGGTTTCCTCTGAGTCTGTCCGTCCGTCTGTCCCTCCGTCCCTCTGTCTGTCTGTCAGTCTGTCCCACTTGGTTTTCCGCACTTTTCTTCTAAACGCTTGCAGATATTGAGATGATTTTTGGTATGTGAGTGTATCTTGATGAGTTACAGATCAAGTTTGCATTTCGTTCTGCTTCAATGATTTTTGACGGAATTACCTTTTCAATTTTTCAGGGTTTTCCGCAATTTTTTTCTAAACGCATGCAGATATTGACCTGATTTTTGGTATGTGTCTTTACCTTGATGAGTTATAGATCAAGTTTGCATTTCATTTCGCTTCATTGATTTTTGACGGGATTATGGCACTTTCAATTCTTAACGGGAACCAGATTACACTTGCCGGTAGGGGACTAGTATTGCTAATGCAATACTCTCAGAATGCTTGTTCATAAACCTCAACCCCTACCCTTTTACAATTGTCCTCAAACCCTTTACTTTGAAATAAAGGGAAAACACTGATTTTGTCTTTTATTAATTTTCACAATGTTTTTATAATGTATGCATTTTGTACTGAATGTGGTGTTCTTGTATTTTAATCCCTGTTCTTTTGATTGAATTAGGATTTTTTTCAAAAATTTTCATTGGTATAAGAATTTGTGGATTTCTAAGTTCCATTGTGTTGCTGTAAAAGCACTTGGGGATTACTTTACCTACAGTGTCACTACCCCATGTGAATTAATTATTATACTTGTACTAAATAATGACAATTTCAAACCCTTGTTCAGAGTATGATTTCTCATTCTATTTGTAGATAGAAAGGAGAATTGCTGCTTTCATTGAACAAAAGAGACAGGAGGTGGATGAACTAAATATAAGAGAATTCTGCTCAACGGTCTCACCAGTGTCAGGTAGGGAGCACCTGTCCCTTGGTAGTTGTGATATGAAAGTTAAAAAGAGATTTTAATGAATTTTTCATTGTTATATCAGGTATGGAGCACCTGTCCCTTGGTAGTTGTGAAATGAAAGTTAAAAAGAGATTTTAATGAATTTTTCATTGTTATATCAGGTATGGAGCACCTGTCCCTTGGTAGGAGTGATATGAAAGTTAAAAAGAGATTTTAATGAATTTTTCATTGTTATATCAGGTATGGAGCACCTGTCCCTTGGTAGGAGTGGTATGAAAGTTAAAAGAGATTTTAATGAATTTTTCATTGTTATATCAGGTATGGAGCACCTGTCCCTTGGTAGGAGTGGTATGAAAGTTAAAAGAGATTTTAATGAATTTTTCATTGTTATATCAGGTATGGAGCACCTGTCCCTTGGTAGGAGTGATATGAAAGTTAAAAGAGATTTTAATGAATTGTTCATTGTTATATCAGGTATGGAGCACCTGTCCCTTGGTAGGAGTGATATGAAAGTTAAAAAGAGATTTTAATGAATTTTTCATTGTTATATCAGGTATGGAGCACCTGTCCCTTGGTAGGAGTGGTATGAAAGTTAAAAGAGATTTTAATGAATTGTTCATTGTTATATCAGGTATGGAGCACCTGTCCCTTGGTAGGAGTGATATGAAAGTTAAAAGAGATTTTAATGAATTGTTCATTGTTATATCAGGTATGGAGCACCTGTCCCTTGGTAGGAGTGATATGAAAGTTAAAAGAGATTTTAATGAATTGTTCATTGTTATGTGTATGGTACAAGTGCCAGCTGCCCTCTGTCTATTTCATCAGTATGAAATAACTGTCACCTATTTCAAGACAAGGGACCCATTTTACATAGAAAGACAACTAAAACCTTAAAACAGTAATGCAATTATTTTACTCTGTAAAATCATACCCTGAACGGCTTTATGGTAGATATGATCACATGCCAACCCGTATTTACATCAGGATAAAAGTAAAAAATGATACCTTATTATTTACATTTACATTTGAGACTGATTTACAATGTATACTATGTATGAAAGTTTTAAACCCATAAAATGATTTAATTTTTTCAAACCTCAGTGGTATAAATTGAATGAAGTTGAACTTGCCTACCACTTATGATGTCACTGTGAAATTATGTCAATCATTTATGACTGAACAATGAATTTCAGGACACGTGATGAACCTGTTTTTACACAGAATTAAATACGCCTTGCTTAGATAGTGTTATATAAGGGAAAACATTTGCAAATATAAATATTATACATGTATACTGTTTACAGATTTCAGAAAATGTGAGAAAATAATGAACTCATTACAAACATGTTTGCACATTGTGTGAAAGAATTTTTACTTAGTATATTGCATGTATAGTATTTGAAGAATTGTAACTATGTTTCCTTTATTTCAGAAACTGACAGTAGCTGTGCCCGTGTTGATTCAGTGTTTGATACCAGAATTGGTGGAAAAAGTCATATCAAAGGTGTTAAATTTTACTTTGATTAGCTTCTCTCAAAATATCACGATGTAATGTAGTAAGCAAGCTGGGGCATGATTTTACTTATTTATGCCAGGAAGAAACTTAAATACTTTAAGATAATACTTTGTAAAAATTGATAATCTAACAACATTATTGTACACTAATAATGCTATTACCTTTGTTTCTGAAATCATGTTGTCATTGCTGCAAGAAAATTAAAGCTGCTGTATTCATTGTTTATTTTTAGTGACACGAGTGGTAAATCTTCAAGGACCACAAACCCAGGTCAGTCAGCCTAACCATCTTACTGTGGTAAAGAAGGAACCCGTGGAGGATCCAAGTTTTTCTGCTGGGATAGAGGAGCGTCTTCAAAATATAGAGACCCACCTCAAGCTTGATAAAAGTGGGTTATTAATGTCATCATCACCAAAATAGATTTCTCTTTAAGTCATATGTACAGTGTATCTATGGCAATAACACCTGTAATTTTTTATCAATATACAGTAAAACACGCTTATAACAAAGTGCCAGGGATGGATGATTTTGCTTCGTTATAAGTGTAATTCATTATATCCGTTAAGTTTACAATATATTTTAAAGTCATGGGGAATGAAAATCACTTCACTGCAAGCGTCAATTCATTATAAGCATATTCGCTATAAGCGTGTTTTACTGTATTGAAGATTCACATATATACATGTATATATTCATGTTATTACACTGTGCTAGAACTGTCACCTGAAATTTTTATGACTATGTCAATTGACAAAACTTTGAAGAATTTTGTATCATTGTGTAAAAATTCATAAATAAAATAATCAAACAGCAATAAAATCAAACAGACAACCAATGAGGAGGGAAAATTTCAGTTGTCAATTATTAAATAAATTGCAAAATTGTCTTAGAAATTAGTGTGTACATGTTAAGCATTAGCTGAGGAGAACAAGGAGCCTAACTGTCGGCTAAAATAATTTATTTTCATACAGACTGAAGTGTTGCATTTTTAGGTCACCTGAGTCACTCAGGTGACCTATTGCTATCTGTTTTTGTCCTGCGTCGTCCGTCGTGCGTTCTTCTCTAAAACCGCTCAACCAATTTCAACCAAATTTGGTATATAGCATCTATGAGTGAAGGGGAACATAAATTGTGAATTTCATGATCCCTGCCCCCCTGGGGCCTGAGGGGTGGGGCTAAAACCACCAAAATTAATGCAATCTTTAAAAATCTTCTTCTTTACTCCTGGACATCAAGCAGTCAAACTGTTGGCATCATTGTAATAAGCATGGAGCCCTCTACCAAAATTGTGAAATTCATGGCCCCAGGGTCAGGGGTTCTGGCCCCAGGGTGGGGCTATATAGATCATATAGTGAAAGTGCATTATTTCTTTGAAAATCTTCTTCTCTGCTCCTGGGTATTAAATAAAGTTACTAAGTACATAGTTATGAAGAGCAAGAGTGCCTCTTCCAAAATTGTGAAATTCATGGCCCCAGGGTCAAGGGTTCTGGTGTTAGGGCGGGGCTCTATAGATAATATAGTGAAAATGCATTATTTCTTTGAAAATCTTCTTCTCTGCTCCTGGGTATTAAATAAAGGAACTAAGTACATAGTTATGATGAGCAAAAGTGCCTTTTTAAAAATTGTGAATTTCATGGCCCCAGGTTCAGAGGTTCTGGTGTTAGGGTGGGGCTCTATAGATTATATAGTGAAAATGCATTAATTCTTTGAAAATCTTCTTCTCTGCTTCTGGATATTAAATAAAGTAACTAAGTACATAGTTATGATGAGCAAGAGTACCTCTTCCAAAATTGTGAATTTCATGGCCCCAGGGTCAGGGGTTCTGGTGTTAGGGCGGGGCTCTATCGACTATATGGTGAAAATGCATTAATTCTTTGAAAATCTTCTCCTCTGCTCCTGGGCATTAAGGTGGTAAACTAAGTACATAGTTGAGATGAGGAGGTGGGCCTCTTCCAGAATTGTGAAAGCCATGGCCCCTGGGACAGGGGTTCTGGTGTTAGGGCAGGGCTCTATTGATTATATACTGTATAGGGGGAAAATAACTCGCGGTGTTAGTATTCGCTATATTCACGGTGTTAATAAATCCGTGAATTCAAGAAACAGTGAATAAGTTTTCAATGACCTCATGTTTTATTTGGAAATTTGAGAAAAGACTACGATAGGTATATATACCTGCAGTACATGGGCATTTCAGTAATTAGGAGTAGTACCTGTCATTCAATTATCTTAATTATCACGCTTTACTTTAATTTTAATAGCCAACGCTACATGTTTCATCAATCAAAACACGTGGGTCATGGGTTTTGATTACTCGTGCGTAACTGATGTTACCACGTGTATTTGTTACCTGCATTATTACTGCGTATTAGTTTTTATCGACATTTTGGTTTTAAGAAATCATTCAAATAACTATCGAACTTGCTGAAGATGTGAAAGGATATTATTTCGTAGACCTACATTAATTAACATATTTATTACCGTCCAGTGGTTTTTATCGCCGCGATGATTATCCCTTCGGGAAGAAGATCTTGGGGTGTACATGCACTCATCGTAATAGCATATAGGAAAGTCATTCGACGTTTTTAATAACTGTACTTTTTTTTAATTAATCGTCAATTAATTATTAAATCTAACTATTTTATGTAAACCTACCCTGTTGTTCGTGAAGTGAATACATAACTCTGATTAATGTCGTTCTAGCTATGCTATGGATTTAATATAGACAAGGGAGGTAACTTTTACTATATAACATTTCCGCGAATTCAACAAACCGCGATCGTGTCCGAGGAGAGAAAAACGTGAAAATTACAACCCGTGAAATTAATCCCCTATACAGTAGTGAAAATGCATTGATTCTTTGAAAATCTTCTTCTCTGCTCCTGGGTATTATTTAAACAAACTAAGTACATGGTTATGATGCATAAGGATGCCTTTTCAAAAATTGTGAATTTCTTGGCCCCAGGGTCAGGGGTTCTGATGTTAGGGCGGGGCTCTATTGATTATATAGTGAAAATGCATTGATTCTTTGAGAATCTTCTTCTCTGCTACTGGAGATTATTTAAACAAACTATGTGCATGGTTATGATGCATAAGGATGCCTTTTCAAAAATTGTGAATTTCATGGCCCCAGGGTCAGGGGTTCTGGTGTTAGGGCGGGACTCTATAGATTATATAGTGAAAATGCATTGATTCTTTGAAAATCTTCTTCTCTGCTACTGGAGATTATATAAACAAACTAAGTGCATGATTATGATAGACAAGGATGCCTCTTCCAAAATTTTTAAATATATGGCCTCAGTTTTTGGAGTTCTTGACGAGGGGGGGGGGCTCTATTGATTATATATAGTGAAAAAGCATTAATTCTATTAATCATTAATTAATCCTGTCTGCTCCTTAGTGTTGAGCTGATAAATAAATTGCTTAGCTATGATGAAAATGGGAGCTTCGAACAGAATTTTTAAATCTTGTGGTCCTAGGGTCAGTGGTTCTGGCATACCGAGGGGGGGGGGGGGGGGGGGGGCTTTTGATAATATAGTGGAAAAGTGTTAATTCTTTGAAGTCCATAGTTATGATGATGAGGATAACTCTTCCAAATTTGTAAATTTCTTGACCCTTGGTCTTGGGTTCTGGTGTTAGGGTAAGGCTTTGTTGAATCTGTAGTGAAAATGCATTGTACCTGTGAAATTCCTTTCTGCTTCTGGGCATATTGGAAGCAAACTGAGTAAAAGTTTAAATGATATGAGTAAGCGTATTTCTACCAGATTTTTAAACATCTGGACCATTGGTCTAAGCATTCTGGTCCTGGGCAGGGCTCTATTTGTATTCTACTGAGAGAAGTTATTCCTCTTTTCCATTCACCTTTGATAATTAATCACTGTAAATAATGTATTTGAAAGGTTAATAGAATAAGATAATTATGCAAGAATGTTTATCGTATAATTAAAAAAGTACTTTCTTAGTTTTAATAAACAGGTAGACCTGTAAGTAATAGATAAATAAAAATGAGACAAAAACAACTTATCTTATTAAAAGTTCTTCAAAGACCATAAGAGAGGTCAATGCTAGAGGTCTTAATATGGGTTTAAAAATAGTACAGAAGCACTAATAGTTTGTTAATAGTCTGCATAGTGTTAAGTGGGGGACAGATTAGAACTTAATTTATGAGTTGATACTGAATACTAGACTAATTATTTTGTTGATCCTGATCTTCCTACTTCTCTTGCTTTAGGGCAACAAAGCTTCAACTATCAGTGTATTTAACTTTTAAATTGTTGTATTATACTCAGGTGACCGTTAAGGCCCTTGGGCCTCTTGTCATTGGTTTAAAAGTGACATGTGACTGGCAGCTATATTTTTGTTTCCAACAATATGGCCAACACCTAACCATCTCAATATTTTGATCATCAGTTCTTGTATATAATTATGTCTCTCACGTTGTCCTTAAGAAAATATATCACTTATTAGGTCAATTGCATCTTTTCGGGCCTTTCTGACAATCTCTGAAAAATACCTTGAATATATTTACTTCCCCGGATGTTAAAATTTTGTATAAGATGGTGTTGCTTCCTATTTATAAAATTACTTGATAGACAGAGTTGAAAGTCCCTTCTGTGGTGTATTTTAGGTAATATCTTTACATTCAATGAAGTTTAGCTCCATAATCTACAGATAAGAGGTCTCCTTACATTTATTTTAAAGTTTATGAAAAGGGGGGTTGTCATTGTCACCTGTGTAACACATTCAAGGTTGTTTTTCACCTTGACGGAAAGGCTTGAGAAGTTGCGATTGCTATTAGGTAATGTTACAGACTGTCTACAGAAAAATATCAGGTTGATCAATCTCTCAGATAGTTTGATTTCATCACATCATCTATGAGATTGATCAACCTTATATATTTCTGCAGACAGTTAGTTTCAAACCTAATATAATAATATTCCTGCTGCAAATGTGACTTAATTCCTCACTTTTTCTCTGATGAAAAATGTTTTTGAAAAATTTTGACATTGAAAAATTATATTGTATAAATGTGTCAGTTGGGTTCATCTATTTCATTTTCAGTTTAAATCACTCTAACTGCATAAAATTACCATGGAATTAGAACTCTTAATATGCAGTATATAGACTACAGAGCGTCCTTAAAACTCTGTAGTAAATAGATTCTTGCAAAAAGTTTTGATATTGTTTCAACACATTTTAAATTGATGATACATATATGTAAATTTGGAATCCATGAACTGAATCTTATTTATTAAACATGAAATATTACATAATAATACTACTACATATTTTGACACAGGAGAACAAAGAACAGATCTATTCACCAGGGTTAAGAAAATGGAAGAGCGAATATTATACTTGGAAAGTCTGTCACCAGAATACTTCAGTAGTGGAATAGTGAGTAACATCCCTTAGATTAATGACACATATGATTAAATTTATGAACATGAGTTTTATATTCATGATATACAATTTTATGATAAAGGATCCTATAAAAAATCAAGTGTCGCAGAAAGTTTTTGGAGATTTGTTTTTCATAAACATATATACACATACATGTATGTTATTGATAATTTGTGTTGGTGAGCTGTCAAGTTATGCAGAAAACTAGGAGACGTTTTTCAAGCATTTTTGATTTGTGTGGTAAAAATCATTCCAATAATATTGATTTGCAGAAAACAAATGGTATACATGCACTAGTACTGTAAAACTGCAGTATTATATACTATACATGTATGATGGATAAGAATTCATTGCCTTTTGGGGTTTTTTTTGACAGCCTTTACCCATGTCTTCCAAAAGAAGAAGAGCATCAGCTAGACAACCTGTGAATTTTCAGGATGTGAATGTAAGATACTTCATAGTACAGATACCATGTTAAGTTCTTGCTGATATCATATTAGATTCAATTCAGCAAGATAAGTTTCCATATTCATACATGTACAAGTTATCCTTTAACATAAAAGCCAGTGAACCAGCAAATGCTACAAAATATTTTTTCTCTCATTCTTTATTAATAATTAGAGTCATGTTCATTTCAATTTACATGTTTAATTTTATGAATCCTGAAAATTTGTATTTGTTTTCAAATAGAATATGACAGTATCAGATATTGATGATCGAATTCATATGCTGAGAGAATCTTTGAGGAGGAAGGCCATGAACAGAGTTTAACAATTCAGATCTCTACACTATCAAATAGGGACATTTCTGTACTACATGTATTCTTTGCCCAAACTTCGGTGTGCAGTATGCAGCTTGCATCATTATCATTGTCAAAGCATGAAAAAGAGTTAGGGTATGGATTTTCATTGAGGAAAAAAAAAACAAATACATGTAAAAGGAAATCTGTTACTTTATTTTAGGAAATTTCTACTTGGATGGACTTATCCAATAATACTTTCTGTGTTGGCACTGTAAGATAAATGTGTATAATGATAAATTATGACAAGTAGGCATAGAAGATAGAATGTCAGCGATTGTGCTTTGCAAGTCTCATACAAAATATTAATGACATAAAAATAAAATGTACCTGTGTATTAAAAATATTGATAAAATGAATGGTAGTTTGTCACTTTTTTTTTTTTACATGTATTTATTCCTCTCTCCACATGGGTACCTTGTTTCACACAGGAAGTTATTCTGAACTTCGCAGCTCTCATCGTTCCAGTTGTAGTTCTCGTGGTGTAGGAGGTCCATACAGTCCTCTCCATTGTTTCTAGCAGAGTTTGGCTCCCCCGGATACCACTTCTGGTAATCCTCTTTCATGATGTTTTTACCTGTAGTGGTCCACAACCACTCTCCCTCTACTAGGGCATCTGTCCCATCAATCCAACAGCCATCTGGCAAACCTAAAGATGGAACCAATCCACTAGATTGTTGGGAACAAAAATGATCATAAGATATCCTTTGCACCAAAGAAATCTTTGATTAAGAGCATACAAGCTTTTAAACATATGAAGATTTTTCCTTAAGAAAGTCTCCAGGTAAAAACGAACTATTAGTTGTAAAATTCTTTCAGTCGATTTAATAGTGCATACGAATATAAGTATAGCTTTTCAAGTAACAAAGTAAAATTACAGTAAATGCAAAAGCACATCAAATTTTACCACGGTGGTACTCCCGGCGTAAAAGTCCCTCAATGAAATTCTGTTCTCTCTCTGATTCAATAACGGCTAAATGTGACTTGAACACTTGGCAGTACATCTAGAATTACAATATACTGACTAATTATATAGGAATTTCTGTATGTTTCCTTAGGAAATCGTTCTTCAAATCTTAGTAGCTTGCTGATTTGAAATTGAAAATTTCATCGCTTCATCTCACTGCAACAAAAATGAGATAAGCTTATATAATACACCCAACACCAGTTTCGGATTAAACAGGTCGATTCCCAGGTAATTTCTAATCCACAACAGACATACACAGATCTCTGAGGGGTTGTAAAATGTTAAGGAGAGTGATGTTTATGGTGAAAATTGTCTTTGGGGAAAAGTGACTTGTCATACCCTCCATGTCAATAAAATTTATTAATTGCTTCAAATGTCTTATCTATGGAGTGCCAAATAAATACATGTATAAATTTAATAACTGAAGAGACCTTAAATTATTTGAAGATATCATAAATTTATTTGATGTGAGCAACTATTGAATTAAAGATCTCTTCAAATAATTAATGCTGACTTACTGCACACATTTATTCCATTGTTGACATCATTAAGTAATTTGATGAATTAATGTGAATTACAATTGATTTTTTTTTTTTAGGTCACCTGAGTCACTCAGGTGACCTATTGCTATCCGTTTTTGTCCGTCGGCGTGCGTCGTGCGATGTGCATTAACATTTGAACATTTTTAGCTTCTTCTCTGAAACCGCTCAACCAATTTCAACCAAATTTGGCATATAGCATCTATGGATGAAGGGGAACAAAAATTGTGAATTTCATGATCCCTGCCCCCCTGGGGCCTGAGGGATGGGGCTAAAACCACCAAAATTAATGCAATCTTTAAAAATCTTCTTCTTTATACTCCTGGACATCAAGCAGTCAAACTGTTGGCATGATTGTAATAAGCATTGACCCCTCTACCAAAATTGTGAAATTCATGGCCCCAGGGTCAGGGGTTCTGGTGCTAGGGAGGGGTTATATAGATTATATAGTGAAAATGCATTATTTCTTTGAAAATCTTCTTCTCTGCTCCTGGGTATTAAATACAGTAACTAAGTACATAGTTAGGATGAGCAAGAGTGCCTCTTTCAAAATTTTGAATTTCATGGCCCCAGGGGCAGGGGTTCTGGTATAAGGGCGGGGCTCTATAGATTATATAGTGAAAATGCATTACTTCTTTGAAAATCTTCTTCTCTGCTCCTGGGTATTAACTACAGTAACTAAGTACATAGTTATGATGAGCAAGACTGCCTCTTCCAAAATTGTGAATTTCATGGCCCCAGGGGCAGGGGTTCTGGTGTTAGGGCTGGGCTCTATTGATTATATAGTGAAAATGCATTAATTCTTTGAAAATCTTCTTCTCTGCTCGTGGGTATTAAATAAAGTAACTAAATACATAGTTAGGATGAGCAAGAGTGCCTCTTTCAAAATTATGAATTTCATGGCCCCAGGGGCAGGGGTTCTGGTGTTAGGGCAGGGCTCTATTGATTATATAGTGAAAATGCCTTAATTCTTTGAAAATCTACTTCTCTGCTCCTGGGTATTATTGAAACAAATTAAATACATAGTTTTGATAAGCAAGGATGCCTCTTCCAGAATTGTGAAATTCATGGCCCCGGGGACAGGAGTTCTGGTGCTAGGGCGGGGCTATATAGATCCTGTAGTGAAGGTGAATTATTTCTTTGAAAATCTTCTTCTCTGCCCCTGGGTATTGTTTAAACAAACTAAGTACATTGTTATGATAGGCAAGGATGCCTCTTCCAAAATTGTGAATTTTATGACCCCAGATTTATGGGTTCGGGGGGGGGGGGGGGGGGCTTCTATTGATTATAAAGTGAAAAAGCAAAATTTATTTGAAAATATTCCTTTCTGCTTCTGGTTAAAAAAGTAATGAAGCTAAGTGTATACCGTATATACTCGCCTATAAGTCGGTCCGCCTATAAGTCGGTTGTATTTTTTGAGGTTATTTTAGAGGGATTTGCCATTGACCCACTTATAAGTCGGTACAACTTTTTGTTAGAATAAGTTGACAATTTCAAACCAATGCTCTGATGTTTTAACCTGGTTTCGGTTAATATTCTTAGAAATGACACCGATATTTCATTTTAAATCATTAAGAAAAATGCATAATGCACACTTTAAATAAAAATAAAGTTATTAAAATATGTAAATACTTGTACTTTATGTATAATCTTAGAATGCATAAATGATATGATATATCCATACTACATTTCAAAGTCCAGATAATACTAATCTTTTTATGACTCGCCTATAAGTCGGATCTAGAGTTTTGGACCAAAATTTAACTCCCAAAAAACCGACTTATAAGCGAGTATATACGGTAGTTATGATGAGCAAGAGTGCTTCTTCCAGAGTAGTGAATTTCATGACCCCTGGGTCAGATGTGCTGGTGTGAGGGTGGGGCTCTTGATAATATAGTAAAAATGCATTAATTCTATTAAATAATCATGTTTGCTCCTTGGTGTTAAGCAGATAAACAAAGTGATTAGTTATGATGAGCAAACTTATGGTCCCAGGGTCAGAAGCTCTGGTGTTGGGGGGGGGGGGGGGGGGCCTATTGATAATATAGTGAATCTGTAGGAAAAATGTGTTATTTCTTTAAAAATCTTCTCCGCACCTGGGCATATCAGAGGCAAAAAGAGTAAAAGTTTTAATAAGGAAGATTATTTTTACCAGATTTTTGAACATCTGGACCATTTGGTCAAGTGTTCTGGTCCTGGCCAGGGCTCTATTATTTTGTATTCTTTTGAGAGCAGTTATTCCCCTTTGCCGTTTACTTTTGAAAATTTATCACTGTAAATAATGTACTTGAAAGGTAAATAGAATAAGATAATTATGCAAAAACTTTTATTGTATAATACAAAAAGTACTTTCGTAGTTTTAATGATCAGATAGACTTGTAAGTAGTAGATAAATAAAAATGAGACAAAAATAACTTGTCTTATTAAATGTTCATCAAGGACCAAGAGAGGCCAATGTAAGATATTTCAACAAAGGATTAAAATAGTACAGAAGCATTGATAATTTGTTAATATACTGTATGGTGATAGTGATAAATGGGGATCAGATTTAAAGAACATAATTTATAAACTGTTAATGAATATTAAGACCAATTATTTTGTTGATCATGATCACCCTATTTTTCTTGCTTTTTGGCAACAAAGTTTCACCTTTCAGTTCATTTTATACTCTATGCATCCTTTAAATTGTTGTATCATACTCAGGTGACCGTTAAGGCCCTTGGGCCTCTTGTTTCAAATAAATAAACTATATCAACAATTGAATTGATGCATGTAGTTCACACAGGAAGAGAGCAATAATTAATGCATGCAATAATCCAATTAATGAACGAAATAATTGAATCATTGCTCTCTTCAATTGGATGCATACATTTCCATTGATGCATGCAATGTATGTAATTTATTTATTGCTCTCTTCAATTGAATTGATGGTATAATTAATTAATGTGCGCAATAATTCTTTTAGGGAGAACGACTATTTAGCTGGTGACATTTTAATTTAAATTTAAACAGTGACTTCTTTAATTGAATTATTGCTCTCTCTAAAAGATCTGATGCACGCACTTTCCCCTAACAAAATCGTCGTCAAAGATATCTTCAGTCAAATAAAAGAAATCAACAAATCATTTATGCCGAATTTTAAATTAATTTTTGCAAGCAATAATTCCATCCATTTGCACGCATCAAATGAATTGTTGCTTTCATTATATTCAATTGATGAGAGCAATAATAGAGTTGGTATCTTCAAATATTTTTTTCTTTTTTTTCAAAGATTTTTTCAATTATTTTAGTTTTAATTTTTCGTTCCATCTGTGTAATCTTTACATTCTAAATGATTGACCAGGTTACGCAGCTCGATTCCAAAGCGATTGGAAGCCCCGTCGTCGCAAACCACGATCAAAATGTACGATCCTCTGCCATTCTCCGAACCATGGCTTGAGACGATGTGGAAGCCCTATATCCGGATCAAACTTGAAGAAATGCTTAAGGTATCCAATGTATAACGAAGGGATTTTGAACAATTTTGAATCGTTTTAAACTAGTTAAAAATACATTGCTAGATAACGATGAAAGTGAAATGAACCAAATTCACATGACTGATAACAAATGAGAAGCTGATCATTTTGCACCTGAAAAGTTTTTGAAGAGTTATCTGCCCTTGAAGAAAAGAAGAAAATTTTAATTTTGTCAAAATATCTGTGGTAAATGATTCATTTTATTTCATATTTTAATAAAAAGAGAGTTTATGCATATTTTCACCAAGAGAGTTGTATGAAATTCACACTACTTTTTACAATATCTTAATAAAACATGCGCTGCCCATAGACATCAGTGTAAAATTTAAGGTGCAATAAATTGGACAATAATTAAAATTTTGTAAATCCCTTTGGTGGAGCACGTTTATTTCATAATATCTTCAAAATGCTACCATGATAAATCATTTTGGAACATTCATTTATTAGGTACAAAATATGGTCGTTATACATTGAATACCTTAAGAGGCTACATCTGACATATATTTTTCCGAGATCAATGACCAGATTTAAGTTTCTTGAAGCAGGTTTAGTAACTATGGAGCTTTCCTGGACGAAACTTGCAAAGATAATTAATGCATCTGGGCTTTCTACATGTACCTTATGTGTTTTACGAAGTATCATATATATATATATATATATATATATATATATATATATATATATATATATATATATATATATATCTAGTTTATGAAAAAGTTTCTAGAGCATACCCACTCCAAAATAACTTTATGGATGTCCGTCTTTCAGGAAGGAACAGTAACTCTTGAAATTATCTATTGTTTTTAATGTCTCAAAAAGAAGCTTTTTATTCTTCCTTCAAAATATGATGCTTGGTCTTGTTTAAAGGAGTTTGGATACAGATTTTAAGTTAATATTTTCTGAAATTTTCAGTTTAATATCATGAATTATATGTTGCTAGAGCATTTCACTCTAAAATATAATAAAAGCGTGTTTAGAAACTTCTATTTTCTGGAAATTACTAAAACTACGAATTTCCGGACGTGTTTGATTGACACATATCCTTGCACTTTCACGTCGTAGACTATCCATAATACGTAAGAGAAGTATTTTTGATTTTCATTATTTTTCATTGATAAACAATTTTGCTGTGTATTGATGAAAAATATTAAAACTATAACCAAGAAAATTCAGAATAAATTGTGAGAAAGCATAACCAATTAACCAGTATTGTCAATTAATATCTCTAATATTTAAATATAGCAATAAAATTTTTAAAGTAAGTCATGATGAACTTTTTTACAGTTCAGTTGACGTACTTTGAGGACCCAAGATGCATCAACTGACAAAGTTTGATGATTCCAAGCCAGTTAGTACCTGAAATATTTAAGTATAGCCATAAAATTTCAGAAGTAGGTTATGGTGACCTATTTTTCAGTTGACGTACTCTGAGGACCCAAGATTCATCAACTGACAAAGTTTGATGATTCCAAGCCAATTAGTACCTGAAAATATTTAAATATAGCCATAAAATTTCGAAAGTAGGTCACAGTGACCTAATTTTCAGTTGACGTTCTCCGAGGACACAAGAAGCATCAACTGACAAAGTTTGATGATCATTGGCCTTAAAGTGTCCAAAATATGCCTCTTAAAACAATTTGAAAACGAATGCCTGCAAAATTCAAACAGTAGGTCAAAGTGACCTACGTTTTGATAAATGTTTTAAGGCCCCAAGATGAATCAGCTTACAAGGTTTGATAATTCTAAACCTCTCAGTATCTAAAATAATGACCTTAAATGTTTTGATAAAGAGTCATAAAATTCAAAGAATGGGTCACGGTGACCTACTTTTCAGACAACTTGATATGAGGTCCTAAGATGCATCAACTGAGAAGATTTGATTATCCTAGTCATAATAGTAAGCAAAGTATCAAAGTTTTAAAAAAAAAAAAAAAAAAAAAAAAAAAAAAAAAAAAAAAAAAAACATAATTCTTGGTCAACTTTGAAGTGACCGTGAGACCACGCCCTTTGCCCCAGGGTGATGCCTTGAACAATTTTAAATCAACATATCCTTATCTTTATGTGTATGTTTGGTGATAATCTGTTCAGTGGTTTTTGAGAAGGAGATTTTTTAGCAACCAGTACTTTTGTTTTTATTTCCCTAATTATTTCCCCTTCTTTAAGGGTCACATCCCTAGTTTTATTTGCCTAAGAGGCTGCTCTGTGACAAATTTGACAAAAATTGGCCAATTAAAGGGTTCTTGAGATATGGCCCATATTCTAAAAAGTTTACGCACATCACACACCGCACAAAAGGCCATAGCATTAGTGCTATGGGAATTATCATTTGCATCTACAAAAATTTTTCATTTCTTCAGCAACATCATAAACATTTATAAGAAATAATAGAGGTCCTAACAATGAACCGTAATATTAAAGATTTTTGTCAGATAACAAGCTTCTGTAAAAAAAAACTCTTTGTGATTTACCTTCTATGATATATAATTCTTATGCCACACACGATAAAATACTTTAGAAAGGTAAAAAGGTAGCCCCATCCCTGTGATCTACAATCAGTAGGTTAGGCATACGTCATCTCACTGCTCTCTTAAGTATTAAAATAAAGGAAATGCTTCTTCATTTATCAATTAAAATTTATCAATTAACGATGAAGCTCTATTGTTAGCTCACCTGAGCTGAAAGATCAAGTGAGCTTTTCTGATCACATTTTGTCTGTAGTCCGTCTGTCTAGCTGCCCGTTTGTCTGTCTGTCCGTCCGTCTGTAAACTTTTCAGATTTTCGACTTCTTCTCCAGAACCACTGGGCCAATTTCAACCAAACTTGCCACAAAGCATCCTTGGGTGAAGGGGATTCAAGTTTGTTCAAATGAAGGGCCACACCCTCATTCAAGGGGAGATAATTCAGAAATAGTGAAAATTTGGTGGCATATTTTAAAAATCTTCTCAAGAACCACTGGCCCCAAAAAGTTGAAACTTATAGGAAACCTTCGTTATATAGTGTAGATTCAAATTTGTTCAAATCATGACCCCTGTGGGTAGGATGGGGTCACAATTGGGGATCAAAGTTTACATAGAAATATATAGGAAAAAATCTTTAAAAATCTCTTTCTCAAGAACAGCAGAGCCATGATTTGTCATATTGATATGTAAGCATCCTCAGGTATTGTAGATTCAAGTTTGTCCAAATCATGACCCCCGGGGGTAGGGTGGGGTCACAATTGGGAATCAAAGTTTTAGGAATATATAGGAAAAAACTTTAAAAATCTTCTTCTCAAGAACAGTAAAGTTACGTTTAGTCATATTGATATGGAAGCATTCTCAGGTATTGTAGATTCAAGTTTGTTCAAATCATGACCCCCGGGGGTAGGGTGGGGTCAAAATGGGGGATCAACGTTTTACATAGGAATATAAAGAGAAAAAACTTTGTCTCAAGAACAGCAAAGCCATGTTTAGTCATATTGATATTGAGGCATCTTCGGGTAGTGTAGATTAAAGTTTGTTCAAATGATTACCCCTGGGGGTAGAGAGGAGCCACAAGGGGGTATCAAATTTTTACAAAGGAATATATAGGAAAAAAATCTTTAAAAATCTTCTGCTCAAGAATAACAAAGCCATTTGTTATATTGATATGGAAGCATCCTCAGGTAGTTTAAAATCCCCCCCCCCCCCCATGTAAACTGTTCAATACTGAATTGATTTTTGCTTTTTCCTAGCCATAGTGCTCAGGTGAGCGATGTGACCCATAGGCCTCTTGTTAATCAAGTATTCAAAGGACATGCATCATTTTGGATAGACCTAACCCATGCGCATGAATACTAGTATTAGAAGCGCAACGTATTCGTGTTTCACCTTACCATAGCCTCTGCCCATGTTGCTCTTGTAGAGTGGAAAAACTTGTAACAAGACGCATCATGTTGAAGAAAGCCATTAGGACAGTCGGCTATTGCTGCAAAATTTCAAACTTGAATTGTTTGCATTTTCCTATTTTTAGTGTCTGAATGTAATGGTCGTTAAGCAAATACTCAGATTTATGACTGATTTTTTTTTTTTTTTTTTTTTTTTTTTTTTTTTTTTTTTTTGCCAAACATTTGTTGGTTGACACGTGGATGCACAAACTAGACAATGGCAACCACAACAAATTCCTTTAAGTAAATACTGTAGTTATAATTTTGAGGTTTCTTGGGTTTGGATATTCACCGATATATTTTTAGACATATTCGACTAATAATATTGTCAATCATAAACACATTTATACCAAACTGACCAGTTGTTGTTTTTTTTTTTTAATTTTGAATTAGATCATTCAGCGATTTTATTAACAATTTCTGTTCATTTCCATATTTCTTTGTGATTTTTCAACCGTACGAAATTTCTACTAACCATTGTTTATTTTAAGAATTTAATTAATTCGTATTCCAGGAAAAATGGTTTTATTGGATGAAATATATCCATGGTGTATATAACTTCATCAGTAACTCACTAAGCATTCTTACCAGTAGCTAGACCAGTCAAAATGACGGCAGCAGAAATCCAGTGCGCACCCATTATTAGGGAACAGTCTATGTGCTAGTAATCGACATTTGATCAACTTGACGAACAGATAAGATATTTCGTTAGATAAACACTGCAATGTTAACAATGAAAGCGATTGCTGTTTTAACTTTGGCTGTCACTCTTTTTCAAGCAGGTAAATGATGAGCTTTTTGTAGCTGCTGTGAATACCACTGGATAAATATGAAAATATTCAACAACGATCTCTAATTTACACGACAGGTGTATATTCTGAAATCAGAAAAAATTCTTAATTACTGCTATTTATAAGCAGCTTTGTGATTTACACCAGTTTGCGAGTGTAAGCGTATTTTTTTTTCCAAGGGAAATTGAGCTCTAAGTTGGTAAATATCGATTACGAAAACAATAGATATTCATTATTCATGTAATCATTGCTAACGATTCCTCAATAAGTATGTATATTTTCTGATTTGACGTAGAGCTATCATTATTAGCATCTGCAGTATGTTATAATTCATTTCGAACAATGAAACTTGATATAACTGAAGAACTTTTTAATACATGTATAGTTATAACATTTCAAAGAACATAATATTTCTGAGAAGTGTAATGTGTATTATTTTGTTCTTGCTTCTAGTGTCAGTGTACGGTCAGGGCTGTCCAAATGGCTTCATGATGCACGGAGAAGCCTGCTATCTGTTCTCCATTCTCCGAGTGTCTTGGATCCAAGCAATGGTCTCAATTAATCAGTTGATGCTATATTTTTGTATTTTCAATACGCAGATAGTATTTCAAAAGAAGCCTCTTCTTTCGCTAATTTTCTACATAAGTATAAAATATCATATTTCTGTTGTATTTCAAGAAATTTTGCGAACTTTACGGAGGAGAACTGGCTGTCATAGAAACTGAGCAGGAACAGCTGTGGGTGGAATCTTATCTCAACAGCACCTGGACACATTGTTAAGTATTACAGTGGCATAAAACTCTCTTATTTAAACACATAATACATGTATATTTAATCCAAGAGGTGACTTTACTTTGATTAGGAAAGCAAGGCTAATTGCCGATTGATGTACATGCATATGCATGTACTAGTATTTTGATAAGCTATATATAACTACTCCTATGCATCATTTTTCATCACTATTATTAATACAACAGACAATCAGACAGACGGGATTTGGCTCGGAGGAGCGGATCTCTTAGTGGAGAACGAGTGGGAGTGGGTGAAGGAAGGAAGACCTTTCACTTACACCCGATGGGCGCCCGGGGAGCCAAGTCACTATCAGAGGGTGGGAGCCGACGAAAACTGCCTTGACCTTCTTCCACATAAACATTTCATGTGGAATGACGAGAGTTGTGCCTGGAAGATGAACTTTTTATGTAAAACAAGGTACTTGACTGTCCTTCCTATTTATCATACCAGTAAACTTATCAATATTCATACAATACTGATAATTAGCCAAATCAAAATGTCCAGGGACGTAATTTTGAGCTGGCAACGTCCATGGACCACTCAGTAAAACCTACAGGTGTCTCTGGTATTCTCCCATTTATAAATGGACAGAAAAGTAAAAGAATCATCGGATCCCTTAATCAGGGGTTGCGTTCTGTTTATGTCTTTGCTTCATGTGTTGAGAATATATGTATGTATAAGCGTACTGTGTAGTGTACATTTAAGAAATGAATTGAATTTTTGAAGATTCATGAGGACATGAGCTACGACGCTTCACGACGGCATATTTCATGAAGCGCGTTAGCGCTTCATGATAAATATGCCGGCGTGAAGCGTTGTAGTTCATGTACCTCAGGAATCTTCAAAAATTAAATTCATTTCTTATATTTACATTATTTTTCTGATGAGTCCCCACAAATTACGCCATTCAATTGACATTTTTTTAAGCAAAACAGTTTGCACTATAGTTTTGAAGTACAGTATGGTATTATGACGTAACAATGGAGATATTCATGCTCATACATGGTAGTTCATGAGAAAATGAACTGTATTCTGATTTGCAAAGAATCTTAAGGAAAAATATTTGGAAATGTAAATATTAAGATTTGTTCACATGATGACCCAAAGAGCAATCACATACAGTCAAACCTCATTATCTCGTACTCGATGGGACCGGAAAAAAACTTCGAGATATCCGAGGGTTCGAGATATCGAGGGTAAAATACTTAAGAAATATGTGAGTAAGACTTCCCAATCACTTCGACATATCCGTGGTATTTGAGATAATCCGTGTTTGAGATACTGAAGTTCAACTGTATTTGGGGTGAAATGTTTACATCGATTTTTTTTTGGGGGGGGGGGGGGCGGTGAAATTTGTAGGGAACAACAGAAAATATTATTTGATATTGCTTTCTAAGCATCAGCCTTTTTTGTAAATTAAGTTCTGCTTATCCCTGGGGTCGGGGTTATGTGGCCATAGCAGGGGTACACAGAACATAAAAACTTCCTTTAGAAATGTGTAAACTTCAACTTAGTGTACCTTAAAAATATTGTCACCAAGGGCTTTAAGCTTCTGGTCACCTGGTAATGAGTTTCTTTTACCTACAACTTCCTGTCATAGAAATATGTCTCAGGTGAGCATTGCAATCCATGGGCTTCTTATTTTTTCTTGCAGTTTGGACGGTGATCCATTGACTTTAATAGGAAAAAGGTCGAACTCAGTCTAAGAATATCATAGAGAACGTTCTGAATCAGAATCTTCACATTAATACAAATAAAGTATGTTTAAAAAGCAAAGACGTTTTCGATTTACTTGAAGTTTTAAGGCACCGCGCATAAAACTTTATTTAACATTAAATTAAATCACATTGCCATGGGAATAGTTATACCAGTAAGTACTTCCGGCTTAAAAACCTCAAAGCTATAGAATTTTTAATAAACTGATGGAGATTGATAGTAAAGCAAGTGGATTCTAATCAAACTGTGAAGGCTTTGCCAAGCCACGTTCTTCTGTATATTGCCCTGCTTTTGCCAATTACCTTTCAATTAACACAACAACATTTCTTTGAAGTTTTAATAATATTTCTATTCAAATTAATACATGCGAGGTTGTTACAGGATATTATCAACTTTGTCTTGTAAACATTAGTCTTGTCAAACAGTCAGTTACAGATACAGAGCACGTTCGCACCTAAACCTTTTGTAAACAATTACTATTAACAACCAGACACTAAATTGGCAAAAACAGCACAGACAAGAAACATCATCTTCCTTTTTAATTTTACTTTTTAATACATGCACCAACTGCTCTTGTCAGAACAATAATTTACAGAAGAGGTATCGACTGCAAATTAATGCAACAGAGCAAGAAATTGAAAACTTTCTGTCATGTTTCAACTTACAAACCATGTTTCAAACACGCACCAGTGTGTCTGTACATAACACTAAGTAAGCAATTGTAGCTCAAAATTAACACAACTGTGACGTCTTAACAGAGGAATTTAATCACCCTCTTTTGTGGGGTATGGTACCACTTGGTAAGGTTTGGGGTATCTTATTAAGCCGTCCTCTGCTGTAAGCGAAGGATTTGGATTATCTTCCGGTGCTCGGAGGTCAAATTTGTTGATTATATTCGCAATAATAAGAAACAAAATTTGGTCCATGAAACTGTTAAACTTAGTCATTCGATGCCCTAAAAAGATATAAATTTACACAATAAAGCTTTTACCATCTTATTTTAGTTGCATCTTAAATACTGCAATCAATTAAACTAAATTTTAAAATTATCTCTTTCGATGTTTTAAATTAAAGTACAGAGACAGAATTTCTGTAAATCATATCGGTATTAAGGTTCATTGACCCTCTGATAAGGGAGATAACCCGAACTCAAATAAATGTCCTTTGCACAATTGTCAGGTTAAAGGGCGATTTCTGTCAAATTTTGCCCGAAAAGTATGCTAAAAATTGTGTGCATTTTAATCATAAATAAATTTCTTCTGGAAAAATCACTATCGTTTATAGGCAAAATTTTATCATGAGAGAACCAAGGGATTATAAACCTTAAGTCTCCAATTTTCTAGATGTGCTCTACAACTTACCCAGTCCATACGGCAAGAATCCTTCATGACGGATAAGTTTTCCATCAGAATCCGTGAAGTTTTCCGGTCGAAATTCCGAGGGGCGTTTCCAGTACGTATAATCCATGTGACAAGATCGTAAGTTTAGCAAAAGTAGGTCTCCGCTTGGCACTCTGTAACCCCCAACCTCCGATTCCGATGAAACTTCATATGGGTATCCATATGGAACTGTGAATAAGATACTGAATTTTAACTTTCTTAGTTTTTCCCAATCAAAAGACTGAAACCGGAAAATATTGTAGATCTGGGGTAATTTGCTTACATAAAAATTCAATTCATTGATTTATTTATCTCTCAAAAAATGTGAAACAAAAAAATGCGAGACAGCATTTTTCTAGGGCACAGAAATAAAATGATCACATGCTGGTCATTGTAAAGAGCTACAAGTAAGTACATAAAAAAAAAATGCATGACATTTAGCTAGCACTGACCAATTGAAGCATTTCTGACAAACATAATTATATAATTTTCAGGAACTGAAAAGATTTTTTTTCTGACTCGATCTTGATAGTAGTATTAAACATTAATACTGCTGCAATAAATTATGGATTTGAATACATAATTTTGCATAAGAATTCTTTTTTTAATGCCATTTTTTTAATGCTTTGATTATTTTTGTTTTAATACTTTATGCTGTTTCTGTTGGATCGATAAAACAGTGATAAAGTTAAAAGGATTTCCAACAGCCTGCCCATAATAATAGTTTTCAAATTTTTAGAAATACAATACGTGAGAAAAATGACGATAAGAAGATATTTTTGTTAATGAAAAGAAGATAACCATACACATCTTAAGCAACTGATTAAAGTATAAAATAATCGAAATGATAGTACAAAACCATAACATCTACGCCCCTGTTGGCTTCGCGCTGTGAACAGACCTGGGTTAGAAAATCTCTGTGCTTCTTGTATTGTCGCTAGGATAAACGGGAGCTTCTCTCGGTCACCCCAGGAAACACATCCATCATCCCTTATCTAAAAACATCGTAATCGGTGTTGTAAGTTCAGAGATTGTAAATATTTACGGGTTGTACGCACCTCCCGCTACAGCTTTACAATTTGATTTTAGGGATGTTAGCTAACTTCATATCATTCGTTGAAATTATAAATGTACCCCCTTCTTTTAAAATTATTTCAGTTGATAAGCTATGTTAATATAGAATTCAAAACATCAAATACAGTGGAAATATAGAGCAAGCTTATCTCTTTCTGTGCTTTCTAAATACAAATGTCGAGAACACTGCCTACGCAAGCTGGAAAAACATATTTTTGCCCTTTGTATTTTATTCATGGCCTCACACAAAGTATTTAAGTAAAATGTTTTTTTTTTTTTTTTTGGTTAAGCTGTTTACCTCATTAATTAACAGTTGCATTATTCTTAATCCTTCATGATGTTTGAAACAAGTCAAATTATAGTATGCAAACTTTTGTTCATTTGAGACTCATGCATAAAAACCAAACTTTTGGCAAATGAAATTCAGAAACTAGGGATATCCAAAGTACCTGCAGCTTAATGACATGGCGGCACTTTTTCTGAAGTTCAGGATATCGTATCAACATCAAAAATGTCCACATCACCACGCTAACGGTGGGTTCACATCCAGAGACAAAAAGATTAATCACCCCCTGAAGAATGCCTTCATCTGAAAATAAAGATTAAGCTGAATCATTAAAGTTTTTATCCTTAGACAAGCAAAATATTATTGGAAAAATTATGAACTAAAATGGTCTCTGGGAGGTATTTACAAATGATTCTGGTATATCTATCATATATACGAATTGACTGTAATGTATATCGTATACCGTTGACAACTTTCCCCTCTGTAGCGTTGTACTTCAGGCAAACATCAACAAAATCCGGGAGCTCTTTTTTAATCAGAGATGTTTTATGATTTGTTAATCTGGGTTCCAGGAACTCTTGTACATACTTGACGGAATCTCGACATTTTGAAACCTGAAAAAATATTTATAGTTTTTGCAATGCACATAGTAAACAAAGTTTCAGATTAGGACTATATAAACTGCTAGTGAATGGTCTATATAATCTGTGTGATTTCTAAATCTTTTGACGAACCTTATTAGAAGAGAGAAGTTGTAGTACACTGAAACCATTCTCCGGTATACCAAAATTGCCACTTTTGGAAATCTCTTGGAGACATTCTTTAAAACGTCTACACGAGGGTCGGTCAAACTCGAGTCTGAAAAATATTCTGTTATGAAGGCTTGTACTACAGTACACAATACCGATCCGAATTCATCAACACTAGTAATCAATTAGAAAAATATTCCACAGAAGGTTTTCCATTCCGCCTTTTCCGTATACACTTCTTTTATAATGTTATTGTATATGTACACAAGGATTCTCGCAAACTTGCATATTCTGTGAAATTGCAGATCTCGAAAAATTCTAGCACCAACCAAAAACTGGATTCTCTTCCTTTCCTCCAAATTAATGCATTGTTCTAAGCCCCCACCCTACCTCTTTTAAAGCATAATTAATTGACCTTGAGTTTTTCGATCCCCAAGTCATATTTTGGAATTTTGAGCTACAACAATCTTTATCATAGATGTTTCCTCCTTTTGTTTAATGCGCCCTCCTTAATTTGTAATCATGGCCATCATGACCTTGAGGATTTTTTCTTGAAACAATATAAAACATCTTATGCAATGGTTAACAACACCAGGATTGAACACATTTTAATCGACGGTTCAAAGTTCTCGATTTAATAATATTATAACAATGAGTTACTCTCTTGAGCCACCTTTGGGTCACCAGAAAAATACTCAACTTATCACGGTTCCTAAATCACGGCTTGGGCATGATTTCAATATGTCATTGCCATTCGACCCTTACTCTTAATATACATGTATCACCTTGCCTTAAGATCATGACACGTCCTTATGTCATGAATAGAATTTATCATTCGAATCAAGGGTTCTAGCGTTATGGCCCGAACACGACTTTGTGACAGAACATGTCAATGCTATAATGTTAATGTGTGATAACCTTATAAAATCAGGATTGGCAACGTTGAATGCCGATAATCTGGAGGAGAAATATTCCCAAGACAGCGCGATTTCAGTCTATTTTAGTCAACATGCAAAGACAGCTCGGGATCCCAATTTAATTCTTGATTTTAAAATAATTCCTTGTCAATATGAATAATTAACTGTATTTATCTCTTAAGTAAAATTCCCTGTTTGCCACTGAATATTTTAAGGCGATAATTATGCAATATTCAAGATCTGTTTTACTGTATTCATGCTTTCAAGAAAAAGCAATAAGTCACGAAAAAATAAAGAAAAAAATGAATTTCCCCGATAAAAGGATTTCTAAATTCAGTTATAGTCTGACGGGAATTATGTAACTCCCTCAGTTTCTCACACCTGCATTGTTTCTGGGGTGACAGTTTCCGTGGCTGTTTATTTTCATATGTCATATTCACTCCTAATATAACAAACAAAATCTTCGTTATTGGAAACATCCTCATACCAAACCGAGAAAAAATCATTTTCAAACTACCTTACTTTCCATGTGTTAGAAACGCAATAATTTTTAATTACTGTGTTGTCACACTATACCAATACATCCATGCAAAAAAATACCACAGAGATAATTTGGTTAATCATTAACGTGCCCCAATATTATACAGTATTAAAGCATTGTTTAATATACTTATTTATGCTTTAACGATACATGTAGGCATCCAAATCTTAATTAGGAATTGGATACAATGAAGTTGCCTATAATGTAGGCTACTTCTTTACATTGTGTTGGAAATGGTTATTTAAATCAGATAAATGAATGAACCTTGGTTTTTGACTTAAATAAATGTATCTTAAATTTTTATGTAAGAGGAATATTTTTCCTTTGTCTAAGATACGCTTATAAATAAATATTGTAAAACCTTTCTCCAATTGTAATAGCTGATACAATGTTGTACACAGCCTCTGTGATAATAGTCAACATGCTGAATTGGCGACATTTCTCTGCTGAAAGCTCCGAGTGAAGGAATCGGATCTCCTCTAAAATCGTCATCTCTATAGAAGACTTCTCCTTTAAAAAGTTATCCACCGTCTCCTCGGTCAATTTTTCGAAAATTCTCCAAAGCTCGGCGTTTCCCAATGAAGAGCCTAGTATTATAAACTGGATTAATTTGAACCCCATTTTCATAATAACTTCAAACATTTAGGACAAAAAACCTCAATGAGATAGATATTTCAATAGTTTAAAGAAGGCTGGGTGGGAAACAAATTACCAACAGATCAACAGGCACTTATTTTGTATATGGGGTCACGCCCTTCTTTTTCTTTCCACAAAGTACCTAACTCAATTTCTGGCACCCCCGCTTCAAGCTCGTATTTTGCTAACATATCAATCATTAACCTACTTTAAAATGACATAGTTCGCTTTGAGAGACTTTTTCCCTTGTCAAATAAATCGTTTCAGACGTCTCTGGTCGAGCCTTTGTATTGTAAACCACTCATTTATTCCTCAAGAATTACCTCCATACATTTTAAGACTGTAGACGAAATACAAGAACTTCTGGTTTGGATAATAAATGTAGGATAAAACCAGACACTTCCGAGTTTTCCATTCTGAGGTCTTTAGTTTTATCGTACACTACAACCCTCACCAGAGGTTCTTGTATCTGAAATGATTTATTTGACAAGAAAAAAAGTCTCTCAAAGCGAGCGATGTCATTTTAAAGTAGGTTAATGATTGATTGAGTTAGGTACCTTGTGGAAAGAAAAAGAAGGGGGTAACCCCATTTACGAAACAAATGCCTGTGACAGATCCACCTAAAATATGAAATGATTTTCTTTAGCCATAAACTATTATTCATGAAAAATAGTGTTTCAGCTATATTTTTTACTACATTTCCTTATTTTTACAGAGTTCTTCCGTTCCAGAAAGTTTAAAATGTATAAAAATTGTCCTGATAACCCAGTTGCAAAAGTAATCTGAATTTTGCCACGAAGGTAATAAATGATAACTTATCTTCAGTACATACTTTTTTGTGTAATATTGAGTGTAAAAGATTTCTTTCTCAAACTATACTCAACTTGATACTTTAAAATATTAAAAATTGGCTGACCTTGGGAAGGCTGTGACGGCGTGATATACGTTGACCAGTGTCGGTAAGGCTGCAGTGAACCCTGTTCCAGGACTTGTTTAATATTTTCAAGACCACCAACCACAGTTACATGATGAGCTCCTACTCTAAACCGAAATATACTGCCATATTTCCTCTCCAAATTCCTCAGAAAAATCATCAACTTCTTGTCATTTGAAATGGCAGCAATATAGGGCCATCTAAAGGGTCCTGGGGGAAGTCCACGGTTTTTCAAGAAATAATAAGTAAACAGAATCACCATTGCACTAATTAAGTAAGGTCCATATTTAAGAAAACTCTCCCAACCCATCATTATTCAGTGAATTTTTTTTTCAAATTAAATTTTTAATAAGAAGTGAATTCCTTCAAGAGCTGTTTTCATGATAAACGTCGTTTTAGTTTATCTCTATTCCGTCTACGAAAAGCCAAGTTTTGTTTACAAGCCTGCAAAAGCTCATAGCGCACGTTACTCTTAACTATACGGGATATATAATCTACGCAATGGTTGTAAAAAAAAATATCTGCCAAGTTAAAAATGTACATGCCAACATAAGAATATTAACAATTTTTGAAATACCTAATGTATAATGCAAAATTTACTAGTAGTGTTATCAATTAAAATATATATCCTGTTAAATGTTAGTTTTTTTAAGTGTCTTTAACTCGCATGTAAATTAACACATGATCATTTAAAAGACCATGACCATGGACCACTTGGGCCACACCATTATCAGCCTTCATCGTGTCTTAAAATTAAGTTGATACTTGAGAATTCAACTCAGACAGAAATTTCAATTTCGTCTCTTGGCTAATTCACACTAGTAATTAAGCGTAACTTAGATTACAAGTGAAGTTCCCGTGTAAAGCTGTTAAATAAGTGAGCCATCAGAAAAATCACAAATACGTTAATTAAAGAAATATTACCATCTTGATTTTTCCATGTCGTCAAATTCGATTGAATACAGGTGTTGAATAACAATTTTCTCTCCTCTGAGCAGAAGCAGGGGAGATCATCATGAAATTCTATCGCCATAACAAGATACAAGACTCCTGAAAGACAAACGCAAGGTAATTTGAACTTTACTTTTTTCCTGGAATTCCAGATTCCAATACTTGAAGAACCCGTGTGCTACTCTTGTAATGTCTATTTATGGTGCTGGGCATCTCTTCTAAAACAAAACTGGATGGAAAAAAAACCATGTAGAATATATGTTTAGTAATTTTTGTATATTTTTCTTTGAATTATACAAGAATTTTCATCAATTGATATCTATTCAAAACCCCTGGTAATGTTTGTTGATTTTGTCTACGAACATCTGTAATATATATACATCTGTAACATACTGTACTATAATTAATAATTATAAATATTATAATATGTACTATAATTTTAAATTAAGAATATCTTGAAAAATTATCAGTAGGTGAGGTACGTTGCGTATGTATTTCCTTTACCCGCACTGCGATAAAATTCGGTCAATTCTGCCACTGTCGAACACCAAATTGCAAAATTAATATGATTTAGCTGATCCCGCCCACAATGTGACGTAAGCAGTCCAATATCTCATCGAAAAGGTCCAATATCTCACTCTGCGGTCAAACATCGATTTTTTATGACCGCTTAAGTAAAACATTGGAAATGTTAGACTCTTTTTAATATAGATTTATATATGAAACAATGTTTAAAGGTATAACAATATAGATGTATTGCGAACCGATTTAATTTGAGCTAAGAATACTGTACTTTCATTAGAATCCGCTCTGGAGATTGTATCCCTGCATAACTTAAATAGAACACATACAACATACTGAGGATATAGAGGTGCAATTTATATTGACTCGATTGCCTTTTTTATTTTGAAGTCACTTTTTGTTTTGTTTGTTTGTTTATTGTTTAACGTCCCTCTCGAGAATTTTTCACTATGGAGACGCCACCACTTGCCAGTGGAGAGCTGCATTTTGACCTATACTCGGCACTTAGGGCCATTGAGCAGAGAGGGATATTTTTCGTGCCAGCTCCTACTGCGACACGGGACCTCGGTTTATACGGTCTCATCCGAAGGACCGGTCTCCACATCCCACAGTGGGATTCGAACCCGCGACGTAAGGGTCAACTCCTTACTCCTCGACTCTAGAGCGAACGCTCTAACCACTGCGCCACGGTCACTTTTTGAAAACTAAACCTACAACGGGAAATGTTTTCCACAATTCGAAACCCCTGTCGGTTAGGGAAAAAAAGCTGGTAGTTAAAGTAAAGCCCCCTTAACAAAGGGACAGATATGTTATCTAGCTTATCCTTTAAATCTATATACAGGGTAATTTTTTTTTCCCTATTTTTCAAACAGGCATCTCTGGAAATTTCAGGTGCCGAAATATCTTGTGTGAATTCCTTAAACACAGCATGGTATGATGTTGTATAACATGCGTTTACCACCATTTTTCTGGTTCTCTAATAAGGGAACTGTATTTCACTAACCTTGCTGAATCGTAAATCTATTCAACGAGGTTATCTTTCCTTAACCAAAATTCAGAAAGGGAACTAGTACTTGTGCTAAATGAAGGAAATTCTAAAAGCTGTATGCCCTTGTTGAATAAATAGTTAATTAAAGAATATTTTGCATTGTACTCACCCACGCATTTTTGTAGAATTTACACACTCTCTTACCAGGAGCTTATTACAAAATCTACGTCTTTCTTTCTTCTTTTTTTTTTTGGTTTTGTTTTTAAACTTTATTAACTTATAGTTTTAACTCCAAGTGGTTTCAATGCAAAATTAAATGATTATATGAAAGAGATAGCGAACAGTATTCAAACTCAGAAGTCCAGAAAACAATACAAATTTTGGAGCAGAGCAAACACGGACCTCTAAAACATCAGGGGTGGGATCAGGTGCCATGGAGGAGTGAGCATCTATTGCCGACCGGTCACACCCGCCGTGTGTATCTTGTCATGATCGGGAAATAACGGGAAAATAGAATACTATCTTTTTTTGAAAAATCTCTTAGATTCTATCATAAGGTCCTTCAGAATGGTACTTGGTTTAAATCCTCTTGTTCCTAATTCTAAATCAGAATCCGAACTCAGTAGTACTCTGTTTAGTACCGCTTTATAATTGCATGTTGTTTAATGTGGGGGTATACATGCATGATTCTCAATATAGCCTGCAATTCAATCAAATACTCTGCATTTCATACACACAACCCACCCAACCCTTTACATTTTATACGTCTTACCCCCCCCCCCCCCCTTTAGGGTCTTGATTTGCGTAATATATATGTTATATACGTTAATATTACTGTTATATAGTGATGAACTGTGTTGGCTTACTTTGTTTTGTCTAAATAAATTATTTAAACTATATTATTTATTAGGTTGCTACTCACCGTCCAAAGAAATATTGACAGCATACATGTGACATTCGTTACCCTATGACAGAGTGTCACATTAGTCTGAGATAAGGCCATCTTTAAAAATATGTTTGTTTGCCCTCTCCCGACTCAGGATAAAAATATTGGGTCAGTAGGGGGGGGGGGGGGGTATTCAAAAACACTTGCCAATATGATGTTAAAATTGTTATTAATGGGATTAGAAAATTCAGAAATGAAAAAAAAATGTCTTCTAGAGGTTAGAAAAGTTTTGAGTCGGGGCATTTTTAGCCAGTCGGTCGGGAGAGGGCAACCAATTGAAACAATTTTTTAAAGATGGCCTAAAACAAAGTCGTTGTCCAACTTTAAAACTGGAAGCAATTTTACACTGACTTGTCAATTGGCGGACACTCAGTAGACAACTTGTTATCAGCTTTAGGTGGAACTTGAGGTCAGAATATTTAATTCTTTGTTGCCTCCTTTGTAATTCAAAGTGTTGATGGACAGTTTTGTTGTTGTTGTTTTTTGTTTAGCCTGGTTCCGAGACAGGCCAGGATTGAATGAACTAAACTTCCATGCAATAGATAGTGTCCCTACTATTCTTACTGCGGCTAAGTTAAGGTAACTCTAAACAGTATAGTGTGAGTTTATCTATACATAAATTATCACAAGGTTTGAAGTAGTGAGTTTTAAAAAAAAACACATAAAACTAACATAACTCATACCATATGTAGGAGAATGACCCCCCCACTCCATCTGTCTATTTATATTAGTTCACCAGGCCCCCACCAACTTCCATGTCCAAGCAAGTGAACAGCGATACCATACAAAACGCAAACCAACAATTATCTAATGAAAAGGCATTTCTGTGAAATTTTCCCGAAAGAACACCTTGCTGAATTGTTGTTGAATCTTAATATAATATTAACATCATGTTATGTAATGAAGATCATATGACACAGGGATTGTTTAGTCTCTAGAATGTAAATGAAAACTTTCTCTCGAAACTGAATATTTTATTGGAATTTTTAATTAGATTAAGCCTTTATTTCTGTCTAAATATCGGCAGTGGGGTTTTAAATTCTGAATTGTCAAAGTTAAAAGTAACATAACTAAGAACAAAACTAATCACCAAATGAAACCACTGGTGTTGGATTACTCAATTAATTTACAAAAAAGCAATGTAGCTGCTTTCATTCCAAAGACCAGGACGGCATACTATAAAACCTGGCCTACCCTCAAAATTGGCCTAACTTTGAAATTGGAGAAAATTTAAAAAATATTATAGATCATGACATTTTTCCTTCTCTATTTTTCCAAATCTGAAGTAAAAAAAAATTAATTGTCTAAAAATGCTTCATTTTCAATTAAATACCAACATTTTTGCGGAGATCACGTCAGACCAAGCCGAGGAAGAAAGTTTTATAGTATGCTGACAAGATGAAAGAACTTGTGACTCTGCCTTCTTCCTCCATATTGACATTAGATCTGCTTTCTGTCCATTTCCTTAAAGACTCACCAAAGAGTTCGTGTGGCCGAAGATGTTTACGCTTTCGTTTTAGGAAAATAACTATAAAGAAAATCTTAATTGTCACAGCGTAAATCCAGGATACGCTAAACTGTTGGTTTATCGGAATATCACGTCGATTTGTTACCGGTCTCTTTTCATTGATTGCATTCGCTATCTGAAGACGTTCATTAAAATGAGGGTTCCATGTTTTCGCTCTGTTGAAGTAACTGGGTTTAGAAACGGCATATAAATGATAAATGAACTCCCTTACATGTTCATAGAATGCAAAATTAACTGAAAATGTGACATATTCCACTCTCTATAATCGAAATCGTGCTATCCTACCATTTTCTTCAGAAGCTCGTTTTGTGTATAGATATACTAATGACTACCTTATCTGGTTTTTAAGCAACCAAACATTTGCTGAGTGTCCAATCTGGCCAAATCAATCCAGTCTAATTAGAGAAGAAATACGA